AGCAACAAATAGTTCCAAATTAGAAAATAGATTCTGTAATTTTTAACTAAAGGCAGTATGAATTGTAACTGATATAGGTTAATTATTCTGAAAAAAATGACATATTTAAAGTAATCAGTTTAACATTATTTTAAAATATTCATGTGCACGGTTTGCCAGTTTCCCCTTAAATATAAAACATCAATTATATCAACTAAAATAATCAATACAAAAATCAAGGAAACAAGTTAAAAGTTTACATTTGCTAGTCCAAATAAGCATCGATAAACTTCGCTTATGAAACGAATAAGTTTTCTATTTCAAACTCTGTTCATTTTGGTGGTATCAGTTTAAGATACTTAACGTTTCACAGTGTATATCTATTTGCTGTTTAACTTACTGATTTAACTGTTTAAAAAGTGATTCTTATGGTAATTTATATATATATATATATATTATAGACTTCTTTAATAAAAACTACAATACTTAATACGTTCTCTTCTTTGTAACATGTAGATAGACAGATTCAAACGCAAATAAAATGCCTTCTGTTGTTATTGCATCATCTGAAACTTTTAGAATGTTTTCCCCCCCTTTTCTTTGGTGATATGAAATAGGAAATTGAAAAAAAGGGGTCTAGGTTTTATATTAAGAAAGAAAAAAAGGGCGTATGTTTAAGTACATTTCTAAGAGGTGTGTTTAGAGCTTAACTGGGTATGTTAGGCTACCAAAATGTAAGCACATTTCGATCAGGAGTGTTTAGAGCCGAACTGAGTATACTGGGCTACCAAAGTATAAGCAACTTTCGATGAGGTATGTTTAGAGTCGAACTGAGCACAATGGGCTAATAAAGTGTAAGCACATTTTTATGAGATATGTTTAGAGCTGAACTGGGTACAATATGCTACCAAAGTGTAAGCACATTTCGATGAGATGTATTTAGAGCTTAACTGAGCGCAATGGGCTACCAAATTGTAAGCACATTTCGATGAGATGTGTTTAGAGCTGAACTGGGTACAATGTGCTACCAAAGTGTAAGCACATTTCGATGAGGTGTATTTAAAGCAGAAATGAGTGCGATTTCAAGGGAACAATCTATCTGAGTTTACTACCGTGGGATTCGATTACTTTTTACTTATTTGTAATAAGTAAAGACGGACATGTCCGATATTCATCTCACTTGCATAAGTTTCGTTGTGCTATAAGGAAGTCGTTCTTAACACGTAAGCTAAACAATTCTTACTTAATATTAAAATGTATGTCATTTATAACATCCTACGAATGGTAATACAGTTTTATTCGGACGTCCTGTTTGATGACTTATATAATTATTCGGACGTTTGTTTATTTGAAGTTAAGCACAAAGTTCCAGAATGAGCTATCTGTGCTCTGCCCACCACAGGTATTGAAACCCGGTTTCTAGCGTTGTAAGTTCGCAGACATACCGCTTTGCCACTCGACTGCTTATTCGGACGTATGAACATAATTATTAAATAGATATACATATATAAACATTATATTTGAACTCGTTATCTCACTGAAACCTCCTTTAAAAAAAGTATACTGTTAATATTATCACAGAAAGTTACTGTAAACTTTATCACAGAACGGTGCTGTAAGAACTTTAGCAGACCTGAAAATCTGGTCATTAAAATTTAAAATAATCAGTTGCATTTAATTTCCTTTCAGTTATTGTAAATCTTTCAATTCTAAAGTTTATGGACCTTAGTTTAATGAATCTGAACATTATCACTAAATAAAAAATAAATAAACAAGTTAATTACGTAGATTTTTACAGAGTCTACTGAAGTCCTTTCTTTTGTTTTAAACAACAGGTTAATAACGTAGATCCTCTCCACTTAGAAAAGTTAATTAAAGTAAAAAATATACCAGCCTCGTTTCAATGTAAAAAATCCATTTGATAAACTAAATCAATTTAGACAATAACAAGTAAATTATTTATTATTCAAAGAACACTAAAGAAAGCCTAGATGCTGAAATTTTCAATTATACAAGTTTTGAGTTAAGGTAAATAGAACGGAAGGTATTAGTTCGTTGGTTAAAGTTTATTGCATTTATTAGTTAAAAATTTGAAAATTATTGTTACTATGTTTTGCTAATTTTGAGAAGTTTTTTTATTTAATTAAATAATGATCTGCTTGATTGATTTGAATTTCGTGCAAAGCTACACGAGGGCTATCTGCGCTAGCCGTCCCTAATTTAGCAGTGTAAGACAAGAGGGAAGGCAGCTAGTCATCACCACCCACCGCCAACTCTTGGGCTACTCTTTTACCAACGAATAGTGGGATTGACCGTCACATTATAATGCCCCCACGGCTGAAAGGGCGAGCATGTTTGGTGGGACGGGGATGCGAACCCGCGACCCGCAGAATGCAAGTCGAGCGTCCTAACCACCTGGCCATGCCGGGCACTAATGATCTGCATTGGTTCCGGGAACACGAATAAGTGGAAAAGCTTTAACTTCGTTTAATAAAATGAAACCTCGGCGCATAAATCATGAATTCTGAAAATAAAAATAAAAATCAAGTATAGTTACTATAGAATCTGTATAGTTATATCATATACGTTAGATTATGTAAAACTAAACTGACTAACATTGTTTTGAGGGACACAATGAAATTTGTAAATCTTAATCGGCGTTCAACGAAAATTAGAAAAAAAAAATAGCCAGGATATTTAGCAAGTAAAAACAACAGCAACAGGCGAACAAAGAGAGAATGCTTGAAAAATCATTCTGAAATTCCATCCATCAGAAAGTCGTCCTGAATTTTTTGTGGTATTTTAATCAGAATGTCTACTTATACCTATAATTTCAAATACTACAATGAATAATTTCACTCAATCGTATTATTTAAAGTTATATCATTTATCAGTTAAAGGTTTAAAGAAATTACCATTGATGGATATATTTTGGAAAATAGTTTTGAAGTTTCAAGTGAAATACCATATTTGCTTCGCCTGCTTTGATATAAAGCTTTTTACACCCAGGCATGGCCTGATGGTTAGGGAATTCGACTCGCAATCTGCAGGTTTCAAAATCGAAATCGGTCGCCAAACTATGGAGCCTCATTATTCCTTGATGAAAAGTAGTTCACGAGTTGGCGGTGAGTGACATTGAGTAGCTGCCTTCCTTCTAGTCTATCATTTCAAAATTAAAGACAGCTAGAGCAGATAACCATCGAGTAGCTTTGCACGAAATTCAACAAAGAAACAATAAAAGACAACATCCAAGTAAGTGAGGAGCTGGGTTTAGCCTAGTGGTTAACGTCTCCCGACTGTAAATCCAAATTTTCATGATTCGTTTCCTGTCTCCATCCAAACGCTCTCCGCATGGATGTATTATGTAAGCGACGGTGAAATTCCACTATTCGATCAGACAAGAGCAGCCCAAGATTTGATAGTAGGTGATGTTGTTTCATGTCCTTTCTCCAAACTGTCAGTCGAAAATTAGTGACAGCTATCGCAGATAGCCCTTGTGTATAGCTTTGCACTAAAACTCTAAAGAAACAAAAAAGTGATGATTTAATGTGTATAATTATAGGGAAAATTATGTGTTATTTAATAAGTATTTGATTGTGAACCTCTTAAACGTTTCCAACCAATAACTTTCCCTTTTTGTCCAATGATATATTTTATGGTCATATATATGACGTAAATATTAATTCAAGAGTAACTAACCCCTTCTCTGGTAATGTATTACTAATGTAAACAATGATTAAAAGAATGTTCGGTTTTTTTAAACTGTTGTATAATGGAAGGTTTGTTGAGGCACTTTTACCATCTTTCAATATGGTGTATACATCTCTCAAGGTAAATACCGCAGTAATAATTTCAAACTAGAACATAATTAACTTAGTTTTATAAACACCTTAGTTCTTAATACTAAATATAATATGAAATATATTATAAAAACATTCACAGGTCTTTCATATCAATATTGTTTAAGAAAAACCTCGTTCAAGGCCTTGAAATATTGTGATTTAAGAATAACAAGCACTAGAAAGTTTTTGTCTAAAGAACTATTTCAACAACTTCTCGGGAAAACGATTTCTCTACTGGCATGATAAGTAGATATGTACGATTATCTAAATAAATAAAACGCTTCTAAACAACTAAGCGTATCATAAGTATATCATATCTTCTAAACAACTAAATATGATACTCCTAAGTGGTTTGTATATATGCTGTATTACTTTAAACATGTTTTGCATCTAAATAATATTTGCTTTGATTGTTCACAGGTTGTATACAGATGTACATTTAAGATTAACTTCTAAACCTGGATATTCTTTTTAGTATATTTTCATACACAATGACAAAATATCACCAATGAAAACTATTAATATTATTTATCTTTGTACTTTTCTTTGTTCCTTATAAGTCCATGCTAATCCTACCGCAAGACAGTTGCAGGCCTGTGTGAAAGTCATGTTAATAACACGATGCACATATTAGCTAATTGTTCATTTAAAATTATATCAAAATCTTGACAAAGGAAAATGATGGCCGCAGTTTTTCTACAAAAGTGAGAGACGGCTTATTAAAACACTGACTCTATTGCTCAGTCATATCAACTCCGTTTTGAGTTTACTTCTCATGTTACACAGCATAATGTGACTTAAAAAGCCAGAGTTGGTAGCAAAATTAGCAAAATAACGTATATACATAGAAAATAAATATATTTAGCTCGTTATGTATTGTATTATAAAGTAGTCGTGTGTTAACTTTCGTAACGTTTTTATACAGCCGTATCGTAAATTAAAACACGACTACTTTATAATACAATACATAACGAGCTAAATATACAGCCGTACTGTAAAAAGGAGAGATATAAACATGTTTTGATGCGAGTAGCAGTATAGAAGATACGAATGAAAACTTCATCAATTGTCATCTCGTCATAGATCCCACGTATAAGCCGCAGACAATGACGTGTTTGTCTGCCTGATCTCCCTTCTTCACATATAAGCTGGGTGCCATTTGTGAACTCATGACGCTTGTAATAATTTATGGTATTAGGAGAGAAACCACATGTGTCCGCACACACACGAGTGGGGTGTCTGCACTTGCTTCGTAGTGTCATTTATTTTTATTTTTTTTATTCGATAACCAACATTCATACCTTTCTTTTAGTACAAATTATATTTGGATAAAATGCGAAGACCCAGATAAAACTCCAGCGAGAGAGCCTTCACTGGGTATCACAAAAACTAGAATCTTCAGGGAAAGGGAAAAAAAATAAGAATAAAGAAATCGATATTGCTATGGACCAACCGACAGATAAGAAAACATTTTGGATTGAAACATAGTGATAACCAGCTAATAAACAGTGTAATCTCTGGTAACCTTTTTTGTGTTTTATTCGTTATCTTATTCTGTTTTTGTTAGGTTTTGGCATTGTTGCTAGATGTCTTACCGATATATATGCGCAGTGTACGTTAGTTTACAGTTTTTCTCGTTTTATGTTTTTCTATACTTTAGGTAATTTTTCCAACACTTTGGTATAATAAATCGCTTAATTATTTGAATGTCACTTGCTTCACGCGTAAATAAGCGACATTGTAATTGTTTTGTAAACTACGATACATGCCTTTATTATCATGACTTTAACTTGATAGCCTATGAACACAAGATATTTTGTTAGTTTAGTATCTACATCAATACAATATTTTGAGAAGAGTATCCACTTTTTATGAGAAACTCTAGTTTTAAAAAGCCAATCACAAATTAATGCATTTTGTATTTACGTCTGATGTTTAATTACCCTTAAGCGTACGCAATCAACCATTGAAAAAAAAAAGAAAACACATTCTAATTTGTCACTTCTTTCCTTAAATACCATATTTTATAACTATTCTTTAATGTGAATTTTAGTATTGCTTAATCTATTTGCTTCCTTTCCTTAATTGTAATTGTTTTACGCCTTTCTATCTTATTTTTTGCCCGGCATCGCCATGTGGTTAGGGCACTCGACTCGCAATCTGGGGGTCGCGGGTTCGCCCTTTCACCCTTTGGGACGTTATAATGTGACGGGCAATCCCACAATTCGTTGGCAAAAGAGTAGCCCAAGAGTTAGGGGTGGAAGGTGATGACTAGCTGCCTTCCCTCTAGTCTTTCACTGCAAAATTAGGGACGGCTAGCGCAGACAGATCTCGTGTAGCTTTGCGCGAAATTCAAAACAAACAGTCCTATCTATATATAATTCACTATTTCGTATTGATTATTGTATTTTTTTATCTTTCTGCTTTATTTTCCATTTGTAATTGTTTAGTGTGTATTTTATCTCTTCTTTTTTCTACTAAGTTCCAATTTTTCTATGCTTTTGTACTTCATCTCCAGTATTTGTAGCCGTCATGTACTTCACTTTACTCAACTCTAATTGTACGGTGTGTTTATTTCTACATTGCTTTCTTCAATTGTTTTTTTTTCTTTACTTTTGCTCACTTGTGCTACTTTTCCATCCTTTATTT